ACACACACCCACACCCACCCACACCCACACCCACACCCACACACCCACACACACACACCACACCAGCCACCACACCCACACCCACACCCACACCCACACCCCACACCCACACCCACACACCCACACCCACACACCCACACCCACACCCACCCGCTAATCAAGTACGAAGAATTTTTGCAACAAAAGCTCGTGGTAGTGATTGTGATGAGCTTTATAAAAAAATTAAAAAAGATTCATTATTATTACTTGTATCGATTAGAGAAAGTTGTTTCATTGCAAAAATTGAAGAAGATTATTCACTATCACCAATTATTCCTATGAAAAAATTTCAATTACAACGACAACAATCACATTGGACAAAAGTAAAATATATTATTCGATTACTTCGTAATACATTAAATGCTTGTATAAGATTAAAATATTTAATATTAGAAAAAAAACGAGCCATTGAAAATAAACAAGATAGTGAAAGTATTATGCATCGAGCTATTTCAAATTGTCTATATGGAAATGATAATAATATATCGATATTTGTAGGAAATTAAAAATTAAAAATTGAATCTAATGAAATTGTTAAATGTCTTACACGACAATATCAACGTGCTATGACTAGATTGATTACCTATCGATTTATTGAACAATTAATTATTTCGAGTAAAGATAATAATCGATATTTAAATATTTTGTTTATAAATTTAAAAGATAATAATTTAGATTGGCATTATCTTGAAAATATTCAATCATCAAATAATCAATTGAAAGAAGATATTAAACATCTCTATTATAAAATTATTAAAAATATATTATCATTTTCAATAGAATCTAATATGAAAACATTATGTGTATTGAATCTCATCAATCTAAACTATAATTCGATGGATTTATGTTTTTTGAATGATTTTCAATTTATTCAAGAGTTATTTAATCCATTTATTAGTTTGACCAAAATCGATACGACAAATGTCGATTTAATGAATATGAAATTCACAACATTTAATTGGTTTCGTTTAGTTGTATTAAAATTATGTGAAAATATTGAATTAGAAGAATTACGAAATATGCATCTTGGTAATCGAAAATTTCATCATATCTTACAATAACAATGTAATTTAATTTTTAATAAATTAATTTTAACTGAACTCAAACAATTACAACAAAACAAATTAACATGTGGAGGCTTATCATTGAAAAATGTTTCTCTTCGTTCTTTTGTTCGATCATTGAAATTCGATGTTGATATTTGTATCGATCGATATTTAATTCTTCTACTTCGTTGTATTCATTTATATGATCATATTCGATTAAATTATGCTACAATGGATTATATTGAACAATTATTCAATTTATATCATACAAGTCAATCTCTCAGTGCTCGTTTGTTAACATTAAAGATTCTACGTGATCTATTGATATATTTACCAGATGATACGAATAGATCTTTTATTGAAAATCTATTAATGAAAATTTTATTTTCTATTGGTCAACATTTTAATTTATTAGAAACTGAAAAAATAGATCTTGATATTATTATTGAATTTATCTATATCTATCGTACGATTATATCATATAATTCATCATGGCAAAAGTTCGCAACGAAATTACTTATCGATGCAATAAAATCCTGTATGAATTTCAATCTTACATCGTTAAAAACAGTCGAATTACAACAAATGAATTTCTTTCTTGCATCAATATGTATCTTAGGTGGTTATGTTCGACCATATTGTTTGGGATCAACTGTAGAAATCTATTCAACTAATACAGATATACATGAATTACAATCTGCAATTATAATTGAAGTCAATATGGATGTTCTCGAATTGGATTGATCCGATGTTAAACCTTAGCTCGTACAATATGCAGCCACGAATCAAATTGAATGGATTTCATCGAATCAAATACGTATTATTGTAGATGTTCGACCACCAAATCTCTCACTTTTATCAATCGACAATGCAGTTCATACTATACTTGATACATTAGGATTTCTTACACAAACAATCGATGCATCAACAATTGATTCATTAATATTATTAGATATAAAATGTCGTGTCATAAAAGCATTATATGATGTATTGAATTATAAACAAGTTATTGAAATTTTCATGCAGAAACCTTATGCATCAATTATTGCTAAACTATCGACTTCAATGAATTATTTTGATTCAATTCGTAGTACAATACCAAATGATTTACGATTATTTAATCAATTACATTTAGAACAATATTATCTAAGTTTAGATAGATATGTAAGAAAAAATCAAATAGTAGAAAGCAAGGGTGTGGGTGTGGGTGTGAGTCTTTCTTATTATACCCACACCCACACCCACACCCACACCCACACCCACACCCACACCCCACACCCACACCCCACACCAACACCCCACACCCACACCCACATCCCACATCATGGGCGGCGGAGCGGTCTTAGTCTAGGGTAGGCTCAACTTTTAAGCCAAGCCGGCACCGAGAGTCAATTAAAAGACTTTTTTTTTCGTTTATAATGGTAAGCGCTACAGATTCTCTTGCTAGGTTTAAATTCCGTAGAATTTGATAACTAAAGGATGGTTCGAAAGTTTCGACCCCTCTCTATAAATCGATAATATCTACAACAAACTTATACAAAGTTATTGATCAAATTGTGTTATTTTGTAGAGGAAGATGAGAGTTATCATTTGAAAAAAAGATTTCGAAATACATAAATCTGTTATAATGTTATGATCATTTTAGCAGCTTTGAGCTGGCATCCCACTCCTCTTTTTCCTCCTTTTCTTTTGTTCTTTTAAAATTCCTCTTTTTAGCCTCTTTTTTCGAAAAAATCCACTTTTTCCTTTTTTCTCAAGAAGAAGCAGGTCGTTGACAAAAATATTCATGAATATATTGATTATTGTACCGTATCATACAAAAATATCACATAACAAACTGATGTGCTGATCAGTCACAAGTTGTATAGCTAAGGAAGCTAAAGTATATGATTTTAGTGATCAACTTCAGCGATATTATATATTCATAATCGGAACCCAATTTTTGTAGTTCTCTAGCGGAAGCAAAAGCATTCAATTATGTTTCCAATATGAAATCATCATTCTCTCACGATCTTAACATGTTTTTGTGTACTCAAAAAGTGAGTACACTCTAAAATCGGTCAGTGTGTCAGTCCGGCCATTTACACGATAGCTTTTGAAAGGAGAGTCCGATTGCAATGAAATTTTCTACACAGTTTAGTCTCAACAATATCTCGGTCGAGTTCGAAGATGAGAATGATTCGTCAAGCCGTTCCTGAGTTATTGGAAAAATAGTCATTATTTCCTATGCCTTCCTATGCGAAAATCGACCTGTTCCCACTTTCGTAAGAAACTTTTCCTATCATAGTCAAATAAACCCCCAACTATTATATACCATTCGATAGAGAATTTCACGAGCTACAAAATGGTATGTAAAACATAAAGAAACAAGAAGACTAACTCACCTATTGCAAAGATAATTAAACGGGAAATGGTTCTGTTCTTATCCATACTCTAGTTGATCCACAATTAGAGCTCTGTCTTTCGATCACAGAGATGATAGTTCGAGGTTTTCTGGGTCGGAGAACTCTAATCCAAGCTCCGTTTGCCTTGAAATCCTATTGGTTGAGCAGTAACCAATAGAAATCCAGCTATAGGAAAAAACGACTTTCTTAGGGTAAATCAAGGCGAAGAGTTCAAATCTGAGCTGTATTCATCTCTAAGTCCTATTGATTGAGCAGTAGCCAATAGAATTCAAGTGTTTTATAGAAAAGGTTTGCCAGGATCATTTTTACGTCCACACATTCTAGGATGCCTCATCTGTATCATTCACTTTTTGAAGTACACATAACTCTCGGGTTTAAATCCGAGGTTTCCACATTTATTCTGGTTAAGATCGATATGTAAAATTATAATCTCGAGCTCACTTTTCTTGACCACTTTTTTCGGCCCCAGAGAAGCTTGTGATATGAATCTAACAATAGATAGGTAACTCGTAGCGTAGCACATGCTTCAAAGCAAAGAGTTCCTAGGATGACTAGACTCAGTCTAGAATTCTGTCAGATTCAATGGGATTTGTTCGGCAAGATAGCTTCCGATAGTATGATAACATAAGTTGAAGATTTCTGCTTATCAGAAAATGAAGTAACCCCTCTTCCTCTTCTTCTGAGTTTCTTCGTATTCAATCACATTTTGGAGGTTCGTATATCTCCAAACTGTACACAGAGAAATATAATCGTATACGAAGAAATACAAAGTAAAACGAAAAGTGTAGATGAGCTTTGTTTGTCTATAAACGATCATATTTTTGTGCATACGATCACGGATTTATACGATCACATTACTGGGTGATATGAAACGCCGTATTTCTCCAATTACGAGCGTGTTTGCTTGACATGGGTTAATATTGACAACGGTTTGATGATACTTGGAAGAAATCGGATATGATGGAATGCAACAGCAACAAACAGGGGTATCCGATAACCAAAAAGTAAGAGATCATCCAATCTACTCAATACAAGTAAGTCGTTTTATACAGAACCCAAGAAGATGATCATATGTCACTGCGAAAAATTAAGCTTTTTCGATAGCACGCGGTCATATGATTCCTACAAACCTGCTGTCTGGACACAGTTGCAACCAATGTATTAATTTATGTTGAGATAACGGAAAAGTGAAACTGACTTGCAAAAAATGGTCAAAATGACGGAAGAATTGCCGAAAATTGAAAAAGCGCAAGAAAAACTTTCTTACATGCGCAACCATCCGAAAAAAAGGAACAAAACGCAAAAAGGACATTTAATGAATTTTGATTGTTTCTATTTCTATATACCTACTTAGTTAGACAGTAATACTATACTCAGATACTATGCAGATAGAATATTTAGAATATTTTTCTAATGTTTTCCGGTTTTCTAATGGATAAATACGCAGCTGCACAAAAATCTCTGAACAATTTGGAAGTTTCGTTTTTGTTTTTCTCTTGCAAGTCATATTCAATCTATACTGATAATGTACGAGTTTTGTCGGATCTATAGTACTATAGTGCCGGTGAGTTTTAGTTTTCTTCGAAAGGAAACTGTACGCCTCTTTTTCTCCTCATTTTTTTATTAAAAAGGCTCTTTTTTTTCAAGAATGCTGGGCATCTTTTTTTCTCTTTTTTTTTTACAAAGTGTTGGTGAGATGCCAGATCTATTTCCAAATATTTTTTCACATGATAACTCTTATCTTTCTCTAAAAGATGACGTAATTTGATCAATAACTTCATATTAGTTTGTTGTAGATACTATCGATTTATAGAGAGTGGTCGAAACTTTTGAACCACCCTTTAGAGAATTTTAACAACGAACAGACCCTATCTGAGCCTCTTTTATCTCCTCAATCTAAGACGATTCGAGCCTACTCAAGCTTTTTTATATGTTTAATTTAGAATAATTCGAACCTACCCAAGCCTTTATCTGTCCCAGTTTGAGCCTACCCAAGCCTACCCGACTCCAATCTAGAGTAGGCTCGAGCCTACCCAGGACTCGTGGCTCCGCCGCCTATGCCCCACATCCACACCCACACCCACACCCACCCGCACCCACGTCCACACCCCCAAGATAGTTTACGAGTAACATCCATACCCTCCCCCTCGGCGCTATATGCATACACGTTTTTAAAGTCTCAGTTCTAATAGTAACTCGCATCCGATCGAGGGATACTTTTCAACAGTAGTATCTCGTAAATTTTATACATATAAAACTCTCAACAGTTTGCTTTATCACTCCCTTTACATTTTTGAAATTTACATATTATTTATTAAGAATGGGAACAAAAAATTTAGTAATATGTTGTCATATGAAACTTTTAGATTACTCTTCAGTCAATTTATATTCATTCATGATTTCGGAAATTGTTTTCTTTGCTTCTTTCTCATTCAGATCTTTAATCGATTTTTCGTAATCCAAACGATTTGATATGTACTGAGCACCCATCACTGCAGAAAGAGCATAATTTGGATTGGGATAACGTATTAAATTGAGTATCTCTTGAAATACAATCCGCATTGTTGTTTGATGAGTCCATTTGCTTTGTAAAATATCATGACAGATGCGACCATCCTCATTTATATTGCAATGATAAATAGGTGTTATGAAGCGTATATTAGGTGGCTGAAAAGGAAAGTCAGATCGAAACTCCACTGACAGCAACCAATGATAGCCAGCATATGGCGTACCATCAGGTCCCTTCATAATAACTTTCCAGAAGAGTGAATTTTCTTGCGTTAAAAACACAGTAAAATTATCTAAAGATGACTTTTTCAAATCATCAAGTTCCTTTAGTATCCGACGATTTGACATGGCCGACGCTTGACCTATATTTATTTTTGCGTTTCTAACGTTAATGGCAGATTGATAAAGCTTTTCTGTTGAACGAATTTCCGGTTTTTCAACTTTTACATGTGACTTCTCATCACGTAAGCAAACCATAAGTGATGCTTCGCGTTCAAATAACTTTGCCATCTCCATTTTATCATAAGGCACATTTATATAGTAGAATCCTTTTGTAGCCTCACAGAGTTGAACTAGGTTTGATGATTCATGTTTCATAAATGCAATGGTATCGAAAACAATCTTTTCATTTTTTAATTTCGATTTAATTGTTCCAACTGATGCTTTTACGCTGCTATTGTCTTCACCATCTGAAAAACAAACAATGAGAGAACGACATTCAGTACTCAATTGCTTTTCGTTATCCTTGCGAAAGCTAGTAATTGATTGAATAGCCATTTCGATAGCATCATACATAGGAGTCGTATTGCCACATGTTGGTAGATTGCTTGATGCCTTCTCAAGCTGGCTCAGATCTTTCGAGATTGGACATTTTTGATTAATTGGAATGCCAGCAGCACCGAAATATATAAGTCCAATAGCTTGTGGAAATCGATAGCCAACAATTTTATCACACCATATGCCAAGTGCAATAGTACTAAGATCAAGTAAGCTTTGCTGGTTGTCTCGTTGTTTTCCTACCATTGACTTCATTGAACTACTAACATCGAAGAGCAAGACAGTGATCTGTTTGATAAGTTGTGTGTCTTCTAAACTTTCTCGAACAGGAAAATAAGAATATTGGTTCAAGTCTTCATCATTGGCAATATCGTCCTTTTTGAAAGTATTTCGTGATTGATCCCCGAAAGGATTAAAACATTTATAATTATCTCCACTTTTCTCTTGTTCAATCAGATAGACAACATAATTACTTTTTAGTAGGACGAACTGATTATATTTCGTTTTGTCAAAAGTCGACGGCTTTGCAAATGTGAATTGACGATAAATACAGTTTTGTCTCAGATGATTATGAATATTTTTAATTTCCTCTTCTGAAAGCATAGGTACTTTTAATCTCTGTTCAAACACATTACCAATAGAAAACATATTGTTCTGTTCAGTGGGAACCCATATGCGATAATTTCTGCAAAAAGAAAAACAATAATTAAAACTATCGAAATTAGAAAGTATTTTATAACTTACTTAAAATATTTTTTAATAATATCTTTATCTGATTGTTGTTTTATCCATGCAACAAGAGCAATTAAATCAGATTGACGCACAAAATTCCTATTGATTCTCTCTTCGTTCTGTGCATCGATCAACTCCTTGATGCTAAATCGATCATCGGCATTTGATAGAATTTGAACAGATTGGTAGCAATCGAATTTTGTTAAAGAATGCTGTGTACTTTCGAATAAATGATAAAAAATATGAGGCGTGTACAGGAAGACATCACTATCTTCCACCATAGATTGTGGAAGTATTTTCCGAAATAGTCGAAAGAATGCTTCACTAACGAGTTGTTTCTCGAATAGAAAACATTCTCCTTCTAGCAAATGATATAATGCCAGACATGCTGGTGGAAACAGAAATTGACGAAGAAGAAGCAGAAAGTTAGAAATATGATTAAAGTTGATTGCATCGATTTCTGACTCCGATGGACTTAAAAATGCAATCTTCAGAACTCTCAATGAAATAAGGAATATTGACATGGCCATTTTGTTTTGTTTCACACAACCTAAAGGTTGCCAAAAATCGTCAGCCAGAAATATTTCACATTCTCCTGCTTTTTGGTAATTAAGATAGTGTGTTTCAAATTGACGTTGATATTCAAATAGATAAAAATCTGGAACTTTGTTTTGGGACTCGTTATTGCGTTTATGCAGCTTCAAGTAACTTGTAAGTAATTCTTTCGATTTCCAAAGGTGCATACGATGATTGAAGAGAATTGGAAAAGTTTTGATAAACGAGAATTTCTCATCAGTAAGAAGTTTAGAAAATAAATCCTCAAGAGTAGCATTTTCGTTCATATTATATTCAAACTGTTCACCAGCCAATGTTTGAATACAAATACTTATAGAAGCTTGAGATATGCTTTCTTCCAATCGAAGCTCGGTGCCTGACTTGAGACCATATTCATGAATTGTCCTTGATGGTAACAATCGATCGTTGTTATAAAACAGACTGAAGGACTTAGTCGTATCACTGTCAAAATCTTCCTTGAGCATATTAATGAAGTCTTTAATCTTCATATCAGAAGCAGGAGTCGGACATCTATTTGATTGTCCACGATATATTATAATCAAGTAGTTATCTGCCATTTTCTATTTGAAAGACAGAAAGGAAATCGAGTGTAAAAAGTAAATCTGAAAAATCGTTAATATAAATTTATAACGTAAGTAAAAGATCTCTCTACTGGACACCTTTCGAAGCGATGAAAGGCTTTTAAATGGTTTGTAGAGAAAGAGGGATTGGACTCGTTCACGATGATTTACACCATCGATTGAGATTTTCCCCTTGCTATCATCGAATGAAAACTAAGAATGGATGAAAAAGTACTGGAGTGAGTGAAGAACGTGGATATATATATATATATACAGGTAAATGTGCGAGTTTGAATGATTGGGATAAAGGGACATTTTTCGTCCAAAGTGCAATTTGGTAAAAATCGTCATTAATGGAAAAAACCTCGTATTAAAAAATGGAATAAACCATAATAAGATGATTTGTGTTATGTTGATGACGTCTTTCACAAAATCTCACCTGTACGGAGGGATTTTTTCTCATAGAAGTAACAGAATGAGTGAAATGAGTCATGTCAATGGGTGCAGATGTAGATAAACGTAGGAGTTTTGATGATTGGAATAAGGGAAAATATTTGGGCGAACTTGCAATTTGGTAAAAACCGTCGTTGATAAAAAAAACCACTATGTTCACTATATTCAGATATGTACTACTGTAGACATAAATAAGTTTCTTGGAAGTGAATAGAAGGCAATGAATTTTGAATTCTGTCGAATTAATGGATACGTTATCACATTCATCCTCGCGTGTACACTAGGAAGAGTGGCCCATGTAAAAATTTTTGGTTAATATAGGAAACCTTGTGAAATGAAAATTTGTGAAAAATTTAACGACTTTGCTTTGGATAAGTCAGTAGACTCTTCATGATTTTTCAAAAGAGATTTTATTTCAGAAACGCATGAAAATACATAAAATATACAAGTTGTTGGGTAAATGTCTAATTAGAGTTCAAAAACAAATAGAAAAAAAAACAGTGTACCCATGTTATAACAACAAAAAGACTGCGACAGTAGTGTCCAAGGACTGAGAAATAGGAATTCCTAATTAGCAGAGGAATTGTCAGTGTAGTTATGATAATTCCTTGGGGAAATAGGAATTGACCATTATTTCCATCACAGTTCCCTCATTCATGAAAGTCAAGATAATGCTTTTTTTGCAATAATTTTCGTACTCATACGTTCATGTGCACAAATTTCTTGATGAAAACGAGTGTAAGAGTAATAAGTACCGTGAATATTGTATTTTTTTAATTTTAGTATTCAAAGTAATGTCAGGGAACTGCGTAGGAATTCCTATTCCTCAGTCCTTGGACGCCCCTCGTTACAAGGCATTTGTGGTACCTTTTAAAAACTGAAAATTTCAATCGTTAATCGACTCACAATTTTTTTGTGAAATATGCATTTTTAATCTGCAGACTTTGCTCTATCTAACGGTAAAAGAATCAATTTTCTAACACCTTGTCCAGGCTCACAATCGAGCCCGACATTTGTGCCAAGACTTTTGCATCAGTCGTTATATATGTACAGCTACAGTCGCATCCGAATCGTACTGTTTTAGTTGACTTTTAATCAAAGAATAAACCATGGTTGTGTCATTTTATTTGTCAATACTTTATATGAATTGTCTCAGGATTTTCAGTTCAAGCGGGATTATTTGAAACTGAACTGAGTTTAATTCCATCATAAGTAATATACATTGAAGAGTTTCGCTTGACAACTAATCATAAAATATGACTGTAGTTTCAGTCACTAGTGGTTTATTTCGTGCAGAATAAAGTTTTAAACTTCAGTTTTGTTATTAAAGACTGTGATGTGGGTTTAGATGCGGATATGTGGGTCTTTAGATCTCACTTTCGGTGTGGACATGTATTTTTTTTTTATGTCCAAAAACAATGTATTATCAACACCCACATCCCACATTCACACCGATACGCACTCACCTACACCCCACATACACATTCCC